CTGTCCTCCCCTTGCTCTCTGGCTTCCAGCTTCGCTTCCGGCTCCTAGACTCCTTTCCTGATCGGGCAGAGGGGCGGTAATCTGTAAGTTTTTCCCCCTTTGAATAAATAACCATTCTATTAATCATAATTCAAAACTGGTGTGGGATTGTTTGTGACTTACGCTTTCACCCATCTCAAAAATAAATAAATAAATAAATAAATAAAATGCTATTTGCCTCCTTCTGGTTGAAATTATTTCGCATGGTGCTCACAGTGACCTTGTGGAGTGAGGACTGTCATTACTGTCCTGCAGAGAAGAAAACAGAAGTTAAAAGAAATTTAGTAATTTGCGTGTAATCCAAGTGGCCATAATGTGAACTCAAGCGTTTGTGATCTTCCAAGATGTCAGCTCCCATTCCAGCGTGAAGCCAGAATGCTAAGTACTGAAGATAATATTCTGAGAAGCAATTCTGTTTGCCAGAGAGCGCTGTGGGAGTTCCTCTGCAGTGGGAGTTCCTCTGCAGTGATGGGGACTGAATTACAAGGGGACATCTGGGCCAAAGAGGATCCCCGTCAGGAATAAGACCCACTGATGATGGTCTCGCCACACATGACACTTTGTAGAGGCCTCAAAATGTGTTGCCCTCAACCCCGTTTAGAGCAGCAGAGTGCTCTGTCCTCTTTAAAATTCCATGCATGCTTTCGCAATCACTGTTCCTTAATGGAGTCTTTTCTGGGAGTTAGGAACTACTGGAAAACAACCGAGGGCACAAAAATACGTCGGAGGCAGTTTTGGGAACAGCCCCGGATGCTTGAGAAGATCTATAGGACTCCAGCGCTGAAAGGGCTTCCAAGGGCATCGCAGGGTGCTTACGCGAGTCCTCGGCATCGAGGGTGCCATCCAGACTCCACCAACGGCTTACCGAGATCACACGACGTGAGTGTGCGTGCGCAGAGCCAGTCAGAATCTCAGTCCCACTGAGTCCTGGGTTGATGGCATTTTCCACTTCTTAAATGTTTCTTGTTTCCCAGCCAAATTTACTCAGGAACCCAAACCTCCAGGGCTAGCCCTAGAAAACCAACCTTCTCCCATTCTCTACCCAGAGCCATCTCAGGGGAGGTGGAAGGAGGGTACACTCCATTTTGAAAGCCCGTAATGTACGGACCGCTGTTGAGCACTGTGCTTCTTTTGTTATCCACATCAACTGATAACAAGTCTCGTGGAAGCAAGGCGTGCGTATTTGCATTCTGCAAATCAGAAGAGTGAGGTCCGGAAAACCAAGGCACTGGCTTAAGCTTCTGCAACGGGTAGTAGGTGGTAGTCGGACTGGAGCCTGCCAAAGACTTTTAAAAGTCATGTGGTAAATGCAGGGCCCAGCTGACCAGAAGAGACCTCCGTATACTAGCCGGCTGTCTCCACAGGAAGTGGGCAGCGTCTGCCTAGTCGTGGGACTCCCACCATAGATGGCAAATTGTACTCTTTAGAATCTTAACATTTTGTACTTTGCCCAGATGTCCTTACTGAGAACCAGAGGAAGGCAGAGGGAGCAGAAGGAAGGACACATTGGAGTTTGTCGAGAAAGAAAACAAGCCTTTTTTCAAGGGAGGGGAGAGGGGATGCTCTGGTTGGTTGGTTGGTTTTTTTTGTTTTGTTTTGTTTTTTTGTTGTTGATGTTTTTTTTTTTTCTTTCTTTTGAGACAGGCATTCTTTGTGTAGCCCTGGCTGTCCTGGAACTTGCTCTGTAGACCAGGCTGGCCTCGAACTCACAGAGTTCCACCTACCTCTGCCTCCCAAGTGCTGGGATTAAAGGTGTGCGCCACCACCCTCTGACAAGCCTGTGTTCTTAGCCAGAGCTATAGTAAAACCATAGCTTGCCTTTAGGAATCCCCAAACTCTCAGCCGATCTTAATCTTCCGCCACTCTTGTTAGTCATTTCGCTAGCGAGGCCCGCACTATGTACAACTCGGACACAAGAGGGGACTTTAAAGAAAGTGACGAACCAGTCCTGACTCTTTCCTGGACCTAGGAAAGCAATGAACAGAGGCAGTTGAGAGGCCTCCCTAAATTAAGGCTGCCCAAACACAGAAATCTGGAAACATTCCCAGCTGAAGGTGTGGGGTCCTTTGCAAACCTCTCCTGACCTCCCTGGGCACTGACCTCGTCTGTTGCACTCTGGGTAACATTGGGAGAGTGGTGGCTAAGGGCTAGGAGAGGTGTCAGAGAAGGCTGGTGCTGGTGGCACAGGCCCACAGGGCAGCACACCTGCCA